AGCAATGGGAGGCTGCTGTTTGCAGATAATAACAGATGCTCTCATGTGTTCAGTCATGCAGTGGTCAACTGCAATTGATTGGCCCTGGACACAGACAAAAAAATTCCAGTAGCCTGCATCTGTGGAGCAGCGCCAACCAGTAGAATAGGGCAGCTGCTCCCCCCACTCTTCTCCAAGCTGCCCCTGGATAACATTCTGCCTTTTTGATGTTGTGATTCCCCCTCACGTTTTCCTGTACATGCATTGACACCTAGGAAGTGTCTGCCACCTCATCATACCCACCCCCCTTATCACCCAAGCCCACCTGGCAATAATCTGTAGCTGTAAGAACATTTTTTCCAATTGGTTCTCCTTGCCTGTTTTTCCTCCTAAGCCAGGGGTGTCAAACTGGCGGCCCTCCAGCTGTTGCGAAACTACAAATCCTATCATGCCTGTGCCTTCGGGAGTCATGCTTGTAACCGTCAATCTTGCACTGCCTCATGGGACTTGAAGTTTGGAAACAGCTGGAGGCCCGCCAGTTTGACACCTGTGTTCTAAGCTATGTTCACTTTCTTCCTCAACATCTTAGAAAGTTAATTACTGAGAATCCTCCTGCAGGAAGTGACTGTTGGCGTGCTTAAATAATTCAGTCAACTCCTCATTGCCAGTTTGCTTTGACAGGGTTAGATGTAGACAATGATGAGGAAGCACTGTTTCCTCACAAACGAGAGGCCATGTGATAAGCATGGCTGCTGATATAAATGAGCCCTATAATACCTGCAAAAAGTTAAAAATTGAAAAGGAGGGCCAGCACCAGCTAAACAGCAATAGCTGTGGTGCTAAAAAGGACTGTGGGGTCTACTTACTGTGAATACAATACTCATACGACTTCTGTGACTGGTAGTACTGTCTAAAAGGGACAGAGTTAGGATAAAGCAGGCCCTGAGAATTTTGTCTACAATTCACAGGGATGGTGTACTGAATAACTCAGTGAATGCAAGTGGATACACTCTACTGTCTGAAGCCCACCACATTGCACTTCACTGCAATGTAGCCTGGCAATATATAGCATTGTATATATCAATGTATAGTTTTGTAGGTAATACACTATCACTGTACAGTAGCACTAACACATCTATGTCAACACAACACAACTAAGGATGATGGGAGAGATGACTTATATAATGGGGTGGCAGGTGCATTTTCCAAGCCTCACTATTGGTCCCACTCTGTCACCTGACTGCAGTTCACAGTTCATGCTATGAACTGTGGGGATTTGCATTTGGTCCTCAGGAAAAACCACAAATTCACTTTTCGTGCAAAAAGCAAACAAGCAAAATTGGCAATAAACTCAACCTAGAAGTGAACCTGAACATATTTCCTATTTTGGACCAAGAATCTTGACAGGTTTACTTTGAAGGCTATTTATCATCGTTTGGTAAAAAATTGGATAGTCTTCTCCTATACAATAAACCCCATGGAAATGTGTGCAAAAAATTCTAAAATACACAATGTAAATGCAAAAAAAGAAATAATTCTCAGTAAATAGAAAAAAAAAAATCTAAAAGGTGCACAGTGCACATACAAAAGTTCTATATACACCCATATCTAGAGACTTAATAACTTCAGCTTGTTCACACATCTCCACCTTTACCAAAGTGAATAGTGTCACTCACTAGATTTATTGACCTCTCTGAAAAAAAGTGGGTCAAATGCACTTAGTGTAATGCTGCTATTCTACTGTTTTTTCACTTAGATATCAATCACCACATCTTCCACAGAAGATGGATAAATCAAATGATTAAAAGAAGAACAATTCAGTTAGGGCTCAGAAACACTGGTATCAGGAAGCAAAAGCAAGATTCAAAAGAGAAGATGATGTTGGAAAATGGGCCAATAAACACCAAGGTTCATTGAATATCATATAACAATCATATCATATTACCCAAGCAGTGAAAAGCAACCTGCAAACACTGATGAATGCAGATGCTGACAGCTTTGGAGAATCAAAGTCCATGAGTTGAGAACAAGGTGACCATATATTAGGTGCAGTGGGTCATATACCTTTTCTTGATAAAATGCCTATGGTATGTACTAGGAATACATTGGTGTCCAGAGCATGTAAACTGTCTTACTTTTTCTGAGTGAAAAAAAATGAAACAATGCATTGAAAATCTTTTAATTTTCCTGACAATAAACTGATTCTATACAATGAATTAACAGCATATTGGCAAATCCCCCCAAACTGTCATTTACTAACAGTTTACACTATAGAAATGTTTATATGTGGTCCACTGAAAAAGAAAAGTTGGAACTTTTAATCATTTCTGCTTTTTTTCCTTTCTGTTGTGAGTATAACTAGTTATGAAAAAATATGAGTGAGCCACAAGAAATGTTATTAAGACTCTGGATCATGGAAATATTATGGGGAACCACAAAAGATTGCTATTGGACGGAATAGCTGTATCAAGTAGCTGAATACCTATTCAAATGCATTTAGCATATGGCAAACAAGACTAAACCTTCCCATTTCACAGAATTCTTTACAAAGCTTTAAAAATTACATTGTAGTTTCTTATCAAGTTAAGACAAATGCATGTGCATTGATTAAAAATAGCTTTAAACAAATTACATTTTTATAGGTGGGTTTATCTGTACCATTTAGAAAATCCATTTTTTTTTAAAATGTACACTAAAAGTACGCCAAAAGTATTGGGACGCCTGCCTTTATACACACATGAACTTTAATGGCATCCCAGTCTTAGTCCATATGGTTCAATATTGGGTTGGCCCACCCTTTGCAGCCTTTAACAGCTTCAACTCTTCTGGTAAGGCTGTACACAAGGTTTAGGAGTGTGTCTAGTGTAATGTTTGACCATTCTTCTTGGAACGCATTTGTGAGGTCAGGCACCGATGTCGGAGGTGAAGGCCTGGCTCTCAGTCTTTGCTCTAATTCATCCCAAAGGTGTTCTATCTGGTTGAGGTCAGGACTCGCTCAACCATGTCTTTATGGACCTTGCTTTGTGCACTGGTGTGCAGTCATGTTAGAACGAAGGAGCCATCCCCAAACTGTTCCCACAAAGTTGGGAGCATGAAATTGTTCAAAATGTCTTGGTATGATGACACCTTAAGAGCACTCTTTACTGGAATTAAGGGACCAAGCCCAACCTCTGAAAAACAACCCCACACCATAATCCCCCCTCCACCAAACTTTACACTTTGCACAATGCAGTCAGGCAAGTACCATTCTCCAGGCAACTGCCAAACCCAGACACATCCATTGGATTGCCAGACAAAGAAGCATGAAGCATCACTCCAGGGAACACGTCTCCACTGCTCTACAGTCCAGTGGCGGCATGCTTTACACCACTGCATCCACCGTTCTGCATTGCACTTGATGTAAGGCTTGGATGCAGCTGCTCGGCGATGGGAACCCATGCTTTCTATGCACTGTTGTTTTGCTTCCAGTGAGTCTCTCCAACAAAGCCTTCCCACTCTATCCAAAACTAAAACAAAAATGTGTTGGACATAGATGTTTTTTTAAGGTACAGTATATATAAAGATGTGGCTATTGATGCACTCATAATAATGCTGTGGAGTGTGAAAAGAGGGACCCAGTAGGAGGGATAATTCTTCTGGCATGAACTATGGGAGGGTAAACTAGATGCCCATTGTAACAATAGAACAGCTCAAACCGTTAATTACAAAAAAAGAGAAACATTATTCATAGAGATTTGTATTCAAATGCTGTATGTTTCCCCTCTGCATGTATTTAAAGATTGTAGCTCTCTAAAACTTCACAAATTCTACCAAATATACTCCTTTGGCAGTAGCATAAATAAAAAAGTTATTTCTTACAACTGCCATATTGAGGTTTTTTTGAGCGACAGGGGAGTATTCAGCTGCATCAAAAATGAAGAGAAGAGCTAGCAACTAGAGATGAGCGAATCGAACTTGGCGAAGTGGAATTCGTTTAGAATATTAGGAAAATTTCGATTCGCGACGAATTCGAAAATTAGCAGACTTCGGATGCGGCGCGAATCGAAATTTTTCCTAAAATGGCGGCGACATGTGCGGCGACGGAGCGGGGATCTCTGGGAAGGCGCGCAGACAAGGCGCGCTGACCCGTAATGCATTCATTCATGACATGTGATCGCATTAGCCAATCAGCAGCCAGCCAGCCAGCACTGTGTAATGGTCGAGCTATAAATTGCCGGCCATTTTAGAATTCTCCATTTGCCTCCAGTCATTCAAGAGAGGCAGACCTGGCTGTATTCAGGGAGAGAGTTAGGGCCACAGAATCGTTACTTAGGGACACAGAAACGTTACTTAGGGACACAGAACCGTTACTTAGGGACCACAGAACCGTTACTTAGGGCCACAGAACCGTTACTTAGGGACACAGAATTGTTACTCAGGGACAGACACAGAATTGTTACTGAGGGACACAGAATTGTTACTGAGGGACACAGAATTGTTACTGAGGGACACAGAATTGTTACTGAGGGACAGACACAGAATTGTTACTCAGGGACAGACACAGAATTGTTACTCAGGGACAGACACAGAATTGTTACTCAGGGACAGACACAGAATTGTTACTCAGGGACACAGAATTGTTACTCAGGGACACAGAATTGTTACTGGGACACACAGAATTGTTACTCAGGGACACAGAATTGTTACTGAGGGACACAGAATTGTTACTGAGGTTGTTACTCAGGGACAGACACAGATTGTTACTCAGGGACAGACACAGAATTGTTACTGAGGGACACAGAATTGTTACTGAGGGACACAGAATTGTTACTCAGGGACACACAGAATTGTTACTCAGGGACAGACACAGAATTGTTACTCAGGGACAGACACAGAATTGTTACTGAGGGACACAGAATTGTTACTGAGGGACACAGAATTGTTACTGACAGGACACAGAATTGTTACTCAGGGACAGACACAGAATTGTTACTCAGGGACAGACACAGAATTGTTACTGAGGGACACAGAATTGTTACTGAGGGACACAGAATTGTTACTCAGGGACAGACACAGAATTGTTACTGAGGGACACAGAATTGTTACTGAGGGACACAGAATTGTTACTGAGGGACACAGAATTGTTACTCAGGGGGACACAGAATTGTTACTCAGGGACAGACACAGAATTGTTACTCAGGGACAGACACAGAATTGTTACTGAGGGACACAGAATTGTTACTGAGGGGACACAGAATTGTTACTCAGGGACACAGAATTGTTACTCAGGGACACAGAATTGTTACTCAGGGACACAGAATTGTTACTCAGGGACAGACACAGAATTGTTACTGAGGGACACAGAATTGTTACTGAGGGACAAGAATTGTTACTCAGGGACACAGAATTGTTACTGAGGGACACACAGAATTGTTACTGGGGACACAGAATTGTTACTCAGGGACACAGAATTGTTACTCAGGGACACAGAATTGTTACTGAGGGACACAGAATTGTTACTGAGGGACACAGAATTGTTACTCAGGGACACAGAATTGTTACTCAGGGACACAGAATTGTTACTCAGGGACACAGAATTGTTACTGAGGGACACAGAATTGTTACTGAGGGACACAGAATTGTTACTCAGGGACACACAGAATTGTTACTGAGGGACACACAGAATTGTTACTGAGGGACACAGAATTGTTACTCAGGGACAGACAGAATTGTTACTGAGGGACACAGAATTGTTACTCAGGGACACAGAATTGTTACTCAGGGACAGACACAGAATTGTTACTCAGGGACAGACACAGAATTGTTACTGAGGGACACAGAATTGTTACTGAGGGACACAGAATTGTTACTGAGGGACACAGAATTGTTACTGAGGGACACAGAATTGTTACTCAGGGACAGACACAGAATTGTTACTCAGGGACACAGAATTGTTACTCAGGGACACAGAATTGTTACTCAGGGACACAGAATTGTTACTCAGGGACACAGAATTGTTACTGAGGGACACAGAATTGTTACTCAGGGACACAGAATTGTTACTCAGGGACAGACACAGAATTGTTACTCAGGGACACAGAATTGTTACTCAGGGACACAGAATTGTTACTGAGGGACACAGAATTGTTACTCAGGGACACAGAATTGTTACTCAGGGACACAGAATTGTTACTCAGGGACACAGAATTGTTACTCAGGGACAGTTATGTCAGACAACATTGTTAGGGACAGACACAGAGGCAGGCAGATATCAGGGAGCTCAGGGAGCGAGCAGACGTGGCAGCAGGAAGGAAGGGGAGGAGGCAGCAGCATAGTCGCAGCCAGAGGCCAGTGCTCCCGGTGTCATCCCAGCGGTCGTGTCTCCACCGACAACCCTGCCGTCATCGATTGGTTGGCTCGGTCGTCTTCCTCTTCCCAGGTCACCTCTGACACTACAGCCAACGGTCGGTGGGTACGTCAGACACAACCGTTAGTTGGCATGGCCCGGGAGCAAGCCCACTGAAATCACGTGTCCTCTACCTGCCCCTGTCCTTTGGTGTTCCCTCACCAAGCGAAGTATCGCATGCTGTGGGCTCAGCCCCACTGTACAGTGAGGAAGAGCTAACAGAGGGCGGTCAGGAACGGGGGGAGACATCCGCCTCTTCAGCAGCCAGGCGAAGAAGTAGTGGCGTGGCGAGGAGAGTGGCTCGGTAGCCGGTCTAGAGACAGGTCTGTCTGTCTCCTGACCCACACGCAGCCGAGGGGGGCTAGTAGTGAGGCGGAGGACCCTAATTGATGATGATGAGGCTGATCGCACTTGGCAGCCTCGTCGTCATCAGGCTATTGCTTCCGCATCATCAGGAGAAGAGGGTGCCAGCTTGGCAGCGAGCAAAACAGTCGGTGGGTTGCCCAGGAGGCAGCAGGGTCGCAGCAGTGTCAGTGGAGGCAAACGGCCACGGAGTAGAGCACCAGCTCCACTGCAGCCTACACCACGGCCAGTAGTGGTGCCGGTGTGCACGGAGGAAGTAGCAGTCAGCCAGTGAGGAGTAGCGGGGGCAAAGTTTCCTACTCGGCGGTGTGGCAATTTTTTGTCAAGCCGCCCGAGGAAGTAAACGTAGCCGTATGTCGACTATGTGGCCAGAAAGTCAAGCGTGGCCAGGGGGCCCATGTTGGGACTACAGCGTTGCGTCAGCATATGCAGCGTCGCCATTTGGTGGCCTGGGAAAACCGTGATAAAGATACGGCGGTTCTGCCTGCCCCAGCCCCCGCTCCATCACCCGCTCCGTTACTTGCTCCGTCACCCGACGTCAATCGCCCTCTATCAGCCAGTCAAGGCTCCAACACCTCTGCTGAGGGGAGTTGTCGCTCGTTGTTGGCATCTTCCGCTCGTTCAGATGCTCCTTCTCCTGCTACTCCTCTTCACGGATTCCGTCAGCAGTCTTTCTTGGAATCCGTTTCCAAGAGAGACAACAGTTTGCGAGCACGCACCCGACGGTGCAAAAGCTGAACGTCCTCCTGTCCAAGTTGCTGGTGCTGCAGTCCCTCCCTTTCCAAGTGGTGGACTCAGCACCTTTCCGAGAAATGATGGCTTGTGCCGCGCGCGGTGGGAGAGTGCCAAGCCGGCATTTCTTCGCCAAAAAGGCAGTGCCAGCCCTGCATTCACATGTAGAAGAGATGGTGGGCCAGTCTTTGAGCATGTCGGTCTCTGCCAAAGTGCACGGCAGCGCGACGTGTGTGTGGCTGTAACTACGGTCAGGGACAGTACATGTCATTTACGGCCCACTGGTGTGAACGTGGCCGGCACAGCCGCACCAGCAACTTGGACAGGTCACGCCGCTTTTGCCTCCACGTTTGCACGTCCTTGGTCCACAAAAGATGTCCGCCTCTACCACCTCTTCTTCCGCCGTGTCCTCAGCCGCCACCCCCGTGCCAAGTCCCATTACCCGACCGGCATATCACATGTGCAGGGCGCAACGGTGTCACGCTGTGCTGCACCTGGTATGCCTTGGCGAACGTAGTCACACAGGGGAGGAACTTCTGAGTGTAATGAACAGAGAAATCGACAGATGGCTGTCTCCGCGCAAACTGAAAATCGGAACCATGTTGACCGACAACGGAAAGAACATGGTGTCTGCTCTGCGTCAAGGAAGGTTGTGCCATGCGCCATGCATGGCTCACGTGTTCAATCTGGTTGTCAAGCGGTTCCTAAAATCCACCATCCCACTGCAAGACATCCTTAAAATGTCACGTAAACTTTGCATGCATTTCAGCCATTCCTACACCGCAAAGCACACCCTCCTTGAGCTGCAGCGGCAGAACGGAATTCCACAGCATCGCCTGATCTGCGACGTTGTTGCAACAAGGTGGAATTCAACCCTACACATGTTAGACCGCCTTTACGAACAGCGAAAGGCCATCACCGATTTCCTGATGTTACAAGCGGATAAAGGTACTCCCCTGTGTAACTTCGATGTCAGCCATTGGCAGCTCATGCGTGACACCTGCCGCTTGCTCAGGCCCTTTGAGGAGGCCACGCTATTCGTGAGTCGGCAGGACTATGGGATGAACGACGACGTCATTCCTCTGTTGCACGTCCTGGAACAAATGCTGTTAACAATGGCTGGTCAGGGTGCGGTAGACGTGGCGCACAGATCTCAACGCCACATGACCCCTGTGGGGGCAGGACAGGAAGAAGAGGAGGAGGTAGAGGAGGACATTTGTGCTCAGGAATTATTGAGTGAAATGGGTGGTTTTTCCACTCAGCGGACACAGGAGTGGAGGAGCAGGAGCATCTGGTAGAGGAGGAGGAGGAGGAGACAGAGGACCCAGACGCACCGTGGCAGTATGCTGTGGAGATGGAGGCAGGGAGTCCCTCGCATTCCTTGGCACAAATGGCCCATAGCATGCTCGGTTGCTTGCGTAGCGACAGCCGAATAATAACCATCAGACAGAGGGATGACTTTTGGCTGTCCACCTTGTTGGACCCTCGCTACCGTTCAAAAATGGTGGCCTTTTTCACACCTGCTGAGAGGGAGGCCAAAATAACGTACTATAAAAACCACCTATGTAGTCAGTTGGTCTCTGCCTTTCTGCGCCAACGTCCATCCTCAGACACTGTGGGCCCTGTGCGCTCGCGTTCCGCTGCCATGGCAGCAGGGGAGGGGTGGGGTGGGGTGGTAGGAGCAGTGGCAGCTCCACCAGCAGCGGCTGCCTCAGTCTGCAGTCGATGATGAGTAGCTTTCTTCACCAGCGCAGTGAGGAGGAAACTACTAACCAGCCGCAGCAGCAGCAGCATCAGGTGGGACCTGGAGCAGGACCTCAAACAACAGGCTTGGGCCTACTTGGACAGCACCCTGCCAACCGAGGTAGACAATCCCCTTGACTACTGGGCAACGAAACTTGACCTTTGGCCCCAACTAGCTGAATTTGCCCTTGAAAGGCTGTCATGCCCGGCCAGTAGCGTGGCATCGGAGCGCGTGTTTAGTGCGGCAGGAGGTATTGTAACTCCGCGGAGGACACGACTGTCCACCCAAAGTGTGGAGAGACTCACGTTTGTGAAAATGAATCAGGCGTGGATTAGTCTGGATTTCAAACACCAGTTCCTGACACAACTGACTAAATCCGCCATGAATCATGCCCCAAACATGTGCCACTTTCAGGTCTCCTCACACTGCTGGTGTGTTCCATTTTTTGTCATAGGGTGCTGGCAGATTACGGGCCTCCCATTGCTGCTGCCAGGCCCGTAATCTGCCATGGGCCCCTGTACCGCCTCCTCATGCTGCTGCCAGGTCCAGAGTCTCTCATGGGTCCCTGTACGGCCTCCCATTGCTGCTGTCTCCATCGCCACACTCTGCCATGTGCCTTTTCAGGTCTCCTCACACTGCTGGTGTGTTCCATTTTTTGTCATAGGGTGCTGGCAGATTACGGGCCTCCATTTGCTGCTGCCAGGCCCGTAATCTGCCATGGGCCCCTGTACCGCCTCCTCATGCTGCTGCCAGGTCCAGAGTCTCTCATGGGTCCCTGTACGGCCTCCCATTGCCCATTGCTGCTGTCTCCATCGCCACACTCTGCCATGTGCCACTTTCAGGTCTCCTCACACTGCTGGTGTGTTCCATTTTGTCATAGGGTGCTGGCAGATTACGGGCCTCCCATTGCTGCTGCCAGGCCCGTAATCTGCCATGGGCCCCTGTACCGCCTCCTCATGCTGCTGCCAGGTCCAGAGTCTCTCATGGGTCCCTGTACGGCCTCCCATTGCTGCTGTCTCCATCGCCACACTCTGCCATGTGCCACTTTCAGGTCTCCTCACACTGCTGGTGTGTTCCATTTTTTGTCATAGGGTGCTGGCAGATTACGGGCCTCCCATTGCTGCTGCCAGGCCTGTAATCTGCCATGGGCCCCTGTACCGCCTCCTCATGCTGCTGCCAGGTCCAGAGTCTCTCATGGGTCCCTGTACGGCCTCCCATTGCTGCTGTCTCCATCGCCACACTCTGCCATGTGCCACTTTCAGGTCTCCTCACACTGCTGGTGTGTTCCATTTTTTGTCATAGGGTGCTGGCAGATTACGGGCCTCCCATTGCTGCTGCCAGGCCCGTAATCTGCCATGGGCCCCTGTACCGCCTCCTCATGCTGCTGCCAGGTCCAGAGTGTCTCATGGGTCCCTGTACGGCCTCCCATTGCTGCTGTCTCCATCGCCACACTCTGCCATGTGCCACTTTCAGGTCTCCTCACACTGCTGGTGTGTTCCATTTTTTGTCATAGGGTGCTGGCAGATTACGGGCCTCCCATTGCTGCTGCCAGGCCCGTAATCTGCCATGGGCCCCCGTACCGCCTCCTCATGCTGCTGCCAGGTCCAGAGTCTCTCATGGGTCCCTGTACGGCCTCCCATTGCTGCTGTCTCCATCGCCACACTCTGCCATGTGCCACTTTCAGGTCTCCTCACACTGCTGGTGTGTTCCATTTTTTGTCATAGGGTGCTGGCAGATTACGGGCCCCCCATTGCTGCTGCCAGGCCCGTAATCTGCCATGGGCCCCTGTACCGCCTCCTCATGCTGCTGCTGCAGGTCCAGAGTCTCTCATGGGTCCCTGTACGGCCTCCCATTGCTGCTGTCTCCATCGCCACACTCTGCCATGTGCCACTTTCAGGTCTCCTCACACACTGCTGGTGTGTTCCATTTTTTGTCATAGGGTGCTGGCAGATTACGGCCTCCCATTGCTGCTGCCAGGCCCGTAATCTGCCATGGGCCCCTGTACCGCCTCCTCATGCTGCTGCCAGGTCCAGAGTCTCTCATGGGTCCCTGTACGGCCTCCCATTGCTGCTGTCTCCATCGCCACACTCTGCCATGTGCCACTTTCAGGTCTCCTCACACTGCTGGTGTGTTCCATTTTGTCATAGGGGTGCTGGCAGATTACGGGCCTCCCATTGCTGCTGCCAGGCCTGTAATCTGCCATGGGCCCCTGTACCGCCTCCTCATGCTGCTGCCAGGTCCAGAGTCTCTCATGGGTCCCTGTACGGCCTCCCATTGCTGCTGCTGTCTCCATCGCCACACACTCTGCCATGTGCCACTTTCAGGTCTCCTCACACTGCTGGTGTGTTCCATTTTGTCATAGGGTGCTGGCAGATTACGGGCCTCCCATTGCTGCTGCCAGGCCCGTAATCTGCCATGGGCCCCTGTACCGCCCTCCTCATGCTGCTGCCAGGTCCAGAGTCTCTCATGGGTCCCTGTACGGCCTCCCATTGCTGCTGTCTCCATCGCCACACTCTGCCATGTGCCACTTTCAGGTCTCCTCACACTGCTGGTGTGTTCCATTTTTGTCATAGGGTGCTGGCAGATTACGGGCCTCCCATTGCTGCTGCCAGGCCTGTAATCTGCCATGGGCCCCTGTACCGCCTCCTCATGCTGCTGCCAGGTCCAGAGTGTCTCATGGGTCCCTGTACGGCCTCCCATTGCTGCTGTCTCCATCGCCACACTCTGCCATGTGCCACTTTCAGGTCTCCTCACACTGCTGGTGTGTGTTCCATTTTTTGTCATAGGGTGCTGGCAGATTACGGGCCTCCCATTGCTGCTGCCAGGCCCGTAATCTGCCATGGGCCCCTGTACCGCCTCCTCATGCTGCTGCCAGGTCCAGAGTCTCTCATGGGTCCCTGTACGGCCTCCCATTGCTGCTGTCTCCATCGCCACACTCTGCCATGTGCCACTTTCAGGTCTCCTCACACTGCTGGTGTGTTCCATTTTTTCATAGGGTGCTGGCAGATTACGGGCCTCCCATTGCTGCTGCCAGGCCCGTAATCTGCCATGGGCCCCCGTACCGACTCCTCATGCTGTGACGTTGCAACAAGGTGGAATTCAACCCTACATATGTTAGACCGCCTTTACGAACAGCGAAAGGCCATCACAGATTTCCTGATGTTACAAGCGGATAAAGTACTCCCTGTGTAACTTAGATGTCAGCCATTGGCAGCTCATGCGTGACACCTGCCGCTTGCTGAGGCCCTTTGAGGAGGCCACGCTATTCGTGAGTCGGCAGGACTATGGGATGAACGACGTCATTCCTCTGTTGCACGTCCTGGAAACAAATGCTGTTAACAATGGCTGGTCAGGGTGCGGTAGACGTGGCGCACAGATCTCAACGCCACATGACCCCTGTGGGGGCAGGACAGGAAGAAGTCCATGGAGGAGGAGGTAGAGGAGGACATTGGTGCTCAGGAATTATTGAGTGAAATGGGTGGTTTTTCCACTCAGCGGACAGGAGTGGAGGAGCAGGAGCATCTGGTAGAGGAGGAGGAGGAGGAGACAGAGGACCAGACGCACCGTGGTGGCAGTATGCTGTGGAGATGGAGGCAGGGAGTCCCTCGCATTCCTTGGCACAAATGGCCCATAGCATGCTCGGTTGCTTGCGTAGCGACAGCCGAATAATAACCATCAGACAGAGGGATGACTTTTGGCTGTCCACCTTGTTGGACCCTCGCTACCGTTCAAAAATGGTGGCCTTTTTCACACCTGCTGAGAGGGGCCAGGCCAAAATAACGTACTATAAAAACCACCTATGTAGTCAGTTGGTCTCTGCCTTTCTGCGCCAACGTCCATCCTCAGACACTGTGGGCCCTGTGCGCTCGCGTTCCGCTGCCATGGCAGCAGGGGAGGGGTGGGGTGGTAGGAGCAGTGGCAGCTCCCAGCAGCGGCTGCCTCAGTCTGCAGTCGATGATGAGTAGCTTTCTTCACCAGCGCAGTGAGGAAACTACTAACCAGCCGCAGCAGCAGCAGCATCAGGTGGACCTGGAGCAGGACCTCAAACAACAGGCTTGGGCCTACTTGGACAGCACCCTGCCAACCGAGAGGTAGACAATCCCCTTGACTACTGGGCAACGAAACTTGACCTTTGGCCCCAACTAGCTGAATTTGCCCTTGAAAGGCTGTCATGCCCGGCCAGTAGCGTGGCATCGGAGCGCGTGTTTAGTGTGCGGCAGGAGGTATTGTAACTCCGCGGAGGACACGACTGTCCACCCAAAGTGTGTGGAGAGACTCACGTTTGTGAAAATGAATCAGGCGTGGATTAGTCTGGATTTCAAACCACCAGTTCCTGACACAACTGACTAAATCCGCCATGAATCATGCCCCAAACATGTGCCACTTTCAGGTCTCCTCACCTCACACTGCTGGTGGGTTCCATTTTTTTGTCATAGGGTGCTGGCAGATTACGGGCCTCCCATTGCTGCTGCCAGGCCCGTAATCTGCCATGGGCCCCTGTACCGCCTCCTCATGCTGCTGCCAGGTCCAGAGTCTCTCATGGGTCCCTGTACGGCCTCCCATTGCTGCTGTCTCCATCGCCACACTCTGCCATGTGCCACTTTCAGGTCTCCTCACACTGCTGGTGGGTTCCATTTTGTCATAGGGTGCTGGCAGATTACGGGCCTCCCATTGCTGCTGCCAGGCCCATAATCTGCCATGGGCCCCTGTACCGCCTCCTAATGCTGCTGCCAGGTCCAGAGTGTGTCATGGGTCCCTGTACGGCCTCCCATTGCTGCTGTCTCCATCGCCACACTCTGCCATGTGCCACTTTCAGGTCTCCTCACACTGCTGGTGGGTTCCATTTTTGTCATAGGGTGCTGTATGTCCTCCATTGCTGCTGCCTCCACCGCCACACTGTGGCTCCACACTCTGGTTTTGCCCGTGACTGCCCAAATGAGTGAAGTGTGCGGTGATTCTAAGATCGACGGCACTCATCTGCATGTCATACTGACTGACAGTATTATTTCTCTTCCCCAGCAGACTCCAAGGGCATTTAAATTAAAGGTACAGTGTTCTGCACTAATATAAAGGCTCTCTGAAGCCTAGAAACACCCTTTTATAAGTTAAATTCGCAGCGACTATATTCGCATTGAATCAAATTTATTCCTCGAATTCGCCGAATCAGCCGAATCAAATTTTTGAATACTTCGCTCATCTCTACTTGCAACTCCTGGATTTATATAAACCACTTAATTGCTTACATCATTGTGAGTAATAGGATAAAAAAGAATTAGCACGTTTCAGCACATAGCCTTGATCATTGCACAATACATAATATGCAACGTAATATATATACAATAAACTCCACCCCACATAAACAATTATAATCATTTTAGAAAAAGATCTATATCCCACATGGAATTTAATCCAGCAGGAATTCTGGTATCAAGGGCGAAAATTCACAACACTTCTCTTTCATGAAGTCTGTAGTGGATATCACCCACACGTATAAATCTGACCCTTTTCCAAACCACTGAATACAAATAAACTCATATTATCAGTATGTGTATACTTGAAATGCTTGGAGACATTTGACAAATTCTTATCATTAGTATCGGAAGCTCCATTGTAGTGCTCCCCGATCCTAGCCCAAAGTGATCTGGAAGTACATCCCACATACTGAAGTGTACTGTACATGTAGTGCATTCAACAACATATACCACATTCTTTGTACTACAATTGATGAAATCATGGATGGTATATTCTTTACCAGTGGACCAGAAAATATATACTTTGTTGTTCTTACAATATTTGTCACAGTGGCAGCAGGTTTTCTATTTCAGTATTTATTGTTTGCAACAAAGTTTCCTCTTGTGACAGAATGAGGCATTGATGCCTCTGAGGACGCCCAGTGGGAGGGGCGAAATGCATCTGGCACGGACATGGTGATACTAAGCTTAGCTTTGTGGAATACTAGCGACCTACTATTGTACACTTCGAGATTCATGTCTATTGTATCTGGAAACATATGAGTGCAATACCAGTGTGTCTGCTTTTACTAATAAACAGAATTACGCTATTTTGGATGCATCTCTCCATTCCTTA